CTTTGTTTACAGGGACGCGATGTGATGAGGTGGTAAATAAAGAGCCGGGAGAGCCCCAAGATCTCCGATCGGTGATCGTCAGGAAGAAAACAAACACGAAGCAATTTTACTGTCAACGTCCAGCTTAATCATTGTGTCCACATACAGTACTTTCCATATCTTACAAAAAGTTCTCATGTTTTGTACGTTTTCCAAGTACAGTCAACCTAACTTCTGTTCGTTACATGGATACAGTCTTTTCAAAATAAACTTCCGTCTTCACAGGAAACTAATTACTTAGGTTCAGGCAACTAAACTACTTAGTTAGGTTGAGGAACAGATGGTGGGACGGGTTAAAATAACGATGGAAGTGATGTTTCAGAAGTATGCAAGTTACGTGACAAATCAACATCGACTTTTCGATTCACACGTAGAATGAACGGCATTTTGGGTAATATTCCAGAGATGGTGGTATGTTCCCCCTAAACATGTAAGAAATGGACATCATGTCTTTATCTCTACATGTGACAGTAGGAGCCATGTTCTGATCTGACTGAGTGGTTTCACTTACAGCTCAGACTGCCGGCTTTATGCTCCAAACAGACTTTAAAGAGTGAAATCACACTGCCGAGCTTGTGTCAAGATACAGTAGTGAGAGATCATTATTTATTCATGTGAGTGCGTCTTTGAGTGTGTGTGTGAGTGTGTGTGTGTGTGTGTGTGTGTGTGTGTGTGTGTGTGTGTGGCTGAGCTGCTATATGAGTAAGAGAGCGTGTCATACAATAACAGACTATCTAAATAAAAATCATCAACGTGAGGCGAGTCATAACTGAGTGTGTGTGTGTACACACACATGCGGCGCAGCCATGCAGAACTGAATAGGTAAAAAAGCATATTTTATTCTCTCTCCTGCCTCCTCCTCCTCTTTATCCATCATCCATCTCTCCCCCATGCTCTTTATCCCTCCTCCCCTCCCTGTCACTTAAATGACTCCTGCTTGTTTTTCTCCGTCTCTCTAAGTCAACATGTCAACTGGAATATATCTGTTTTCCTCCGTCACGTCGTCGAGCGACGCACTCCTTCGTTATCTGTTTGTGTAATACGCTGAGGTTTAATGTTGGGTTGATGATGAGTGTGTGTGCACATCAGGGTTCTTGTTATGTTTGCAGTGTGTGTGAGTGTGTTTGTGTGTCTAGAAGTGTCTGCCTGTATCCAGAAACACATTTAAGCGAACTGTTCGGCTGTAAAATGAGAAAGTTTGTGACCCGGCCGCCATGTTGAAATCCGCCCATGGACCGCAGCGAAGCCACACCGAAGCTCACGGAACTCAGGTCAAACAGTCAAACTATAGGCAGCGCTGATCACAAGTAAATCAATATTCGGTTACTGCATGGCCCATTGCTCACCTCAAATGTCTGTTCAGAAACACATTTTACTGCACAGTTAAGCTATACAATGAGAACGTTTGTGATCGGCCGCCATGTTGAAAATAGTCGAGCCCGAACCGAGCCTCGCCCCTACACCGGACCGTTCGGGGTGACGTCGCGTCTTTCCGTTTGTTGGCTGGATTTTAGTGGATCTCCACCATAGTAGAAGAAGAAAACTCTTCTGACCACAGGGGGTTCTCCACCTTTCCACGGCTGTTCACATCCAACTCTGCTTTAAAAGGCATCATCATGTCTGCCGGTGACCTCACACCCACGCCTGCTGTTCACATATTCTGCAGATTTAGCGATAGTGCCGAGTGCTTTCAAGTGACTGCAGCTTGAAAACGCATTTAAATTATACTATTTAACACATTTGTGTTCCATGACATTATGATCGAGTGTTTGTCTGTAGATTGATTAGTCGATGGACAGACAGGAACAGACACATTCTGCATTCCCATGACGTTGTAAATTGAATATCTGCACATATCAGCTTGTTGATCGGACAAAACAAGCAGTTTTCAATCCTAGTTTGATTTGGTCAGACAAAAGGAAGATTTTATTTTGGTGGACAGGGCCAAAGAGAAAGCGTAATGGAATATGTGTCTCTTTTCTCAAATATAAACTTTAAAACTGCATGCACAATACTGGAGTTCAGTCACCAGCTTAAAGTAATTTAGCTCATGTGTATCTCATGAACTTATTTGTCTGCACAAGCTTTTAAGTAGTTACATTTCAGTATTAAATAACAAACATGAAGACTTCAGTTTCCAAGGGTAGACTGGAAGTCATTGCTACCGACTTGAGATGGAGAAAACAAATCATACTGACTTCTATCGTTCAGACGTCTCTCACCACATAGAGCTATTTCAGAGCCTCTGACAGCAGCTTGGCTTGTATTTTCAGATGAGGAAGCGGAAAAATACTCTGCTGTCTAGAGCAAATGTTGTAGGAGTAGCACTATTGTGGGAGCAGGACGTCTGAGCTCAAAGATAATAAAAAAAACGGAAAGAGAAGAGAATGGGCCGATAGTTACGAGCCAATCCTCTGTCAAGTACCTGCCCGCCACTTGCACCTGCATCTCCTGTGCAGCGTTTTATTTTAGACTCAGCAATGAGTCAGAAAGGAGGTGAGAGGAGGAGGAGGAGGAGGGGGAGGATGTTGGCCTGAAGATAAAATATATGAAAGGAACTGTGCACCAAAAATAAGTTAACAGAGTGCAGATAAAGAAGAGTCACATCAGTAGATACACCGGTGCCAAATTTAGACAGGTCTTGTAAATTGCTGACCCGTCGCTCGGCTCATGCTGAGGTTTTTTTCCCACGATGCTCGCTAATGTGACAACATGCAGGGAAGTTTACGGGCAACGTGCGAGTGCAGGTACACATGTGCACGGACCGGTACGTGGTAACATTTCAGCAGCTTGTAAACACTCACTCAATGAAAATGTGCCTGTGTGTGTCTGTCCATGTGCCCGGGCACCTGTGAATGCATACTGGCGCATGAATTACACCGACACAGCTGGGATCCACCAGTCCCACCAGCCAATACATGTATATATGTGTGTGTGTGTGTGTGTGTGTGTGTGTGTGTGTGGCCGCCAGCTGCATCCACTGTGCTGATCCTCAAAGCCGCTATCACATTCTGCTTGCATCATTGCACCCCAGTCGTACTGAGAGCATCAAACCCACGAACACATGCTCGCTGTTAGAAGCTCACATTCACCCTCACATTCATGCGTATAATCACTTTCTTACAAACAGAAAACAAACACCCATTCAGAGATATTATGAGTACATATCACTGGTGTTTTAAGCTGTTTGCTATCAAACGTACCATTTGTAAATTACATTTTCAGTCGGGCATGTTTTTACGGCGAGCTGTTAAAAGGAGCCACGAGAAAAGGAATGACTGTTAAACCTGCTGCGGTCAGTTAGTGGTGGAGAGGAACGTCTCAGGACAGTCCTGAATGACAAGCGCCTCCAAATAACCATCCACTATTGTCAAGAATGTCTGCAGAGGTCAAAATGCGTCTCTAGACGGTGGGTCAAGAAGGACTTCAGGGCTCTCGGATGCAGCCAAGTTTCACCATTAAAGGTCAACGGTTATACAGGCCGATAAAGACAGCGAGCAGCAGCTGTGTGATAGGCTTCAAACTTTATCTCTACTCTGGACAACTGGTCATGGCTCCAAAAGGACCAGTCTTATGTGAAAAATGATATATTATATGTATTAATGTTTATTTTAACTGGTTATGAAACTCTCAATTTAATACTGACGTCTCTGAGCTCCATAACAAAACGAGACCATCAGCGAGGAGATTTACCATTTCTAAACTGTCTGGACCGATAGGTCCGATTCCAGCAAAATCGCTGCAGTCGGACCTCCGGAGGGAGGAGGAGAGCTCAGCTCCCGGCAGCAGCAGCGTCTCCTCCTCCTCCTCCAGGAGCAGAGCTTCTCCTCTCTGGGAGTCAACACCGACACCACGCTACTGGAGACCCAGGACGTATTGCTGGACCCGCTGGAGGGAAGGGAGGCACGGGAGAACCAGAACCAGGATTGAGAGGAGCAGACTGTCAGACCCTGCTGCAGTAGAATGAGAGGTTTTCTAAAGGGACTCTGGTGCTCAGAAACAATACCACTTTAGTCCACAGGGGCCAACAGAATCAACCTGTAACTTTCAAATAATACATAAAAAAAAACATAACCTTGAACTCAATTCATGACTTCATCACATAACCAAACCCTAATCTAAAGCAAATCACACACTGCTTTCAAAATTAGCATATAAATATGTCACACACAACTGCAAATGCAACCTACAGATACAGATACAGGATTACTAAATGACTGAAAGGCTGCCCGCCAAACGTCAACACGTGAACACAAACTCTCACCAGAAGTTTATACAAGACCATAACCAGACAAACCATCAGGAAGGACTGTCTGCCTTTACAGGCGAGCATAGAATGAGGCTTCTCTCCAGCTTTAGTGGCCGTGTTGAGATTCCTCTTGGCTGCTATCATGGAGTAAATCCCAGCATCTTGATTTGGAAACTAGATGAAACACCAGATTTTAATCCGAGAGAGTGTAATGTGTTTGGATAGAGCTCAGCGAGAGGACTGTAATCAGAATAATTATTCTGGTCTCACTCCAGCTCCGGGCCTTTTAGCTAATGACAGTCGCGACACTGCATTTCAAGCTGTCTATTTACATGCACATGAGATGTGTGCGCAAATACTGCATGCATGCATGTACGTGTGTGTGTGTGTGTGTGTGTGTGATAGAGCGAGAGAGTTTGAGCAGTTCGGCATGCCTACAACATTCACAGACAAATAACAAAAAAGGCAAGAGAGAAGAAGGTAGCATTGCTTAGAGCAACATGATAACAGACTGACGCACAACAGTCCTATTAGGGACGCACACTGCAGCCACAACTTCAATCTGCACACCCAGGACTCCGTTGGAGTGCAGTCATCTATCTATACATCATAACAGCATCTCAAATGTTCGCATCTCGACTGTTATTTATCGCCGAAACAGAACATCAGACCCGTCGGGTTCTCATTGTGAGGAAAATGACTCCTCAGATATGAATGTGATTCATCAAAAACACATCAATACACAATGTCATCACCTTCTGGACGCCCGTGTGCGTGTAGCGAAACATGTACGCAACGGAGTTGTTTGCTACCGATCAATGGGCCTTTATTCATGCGCGGCACATTTCACACGAGAAGCAATTCAGACGGCGCTTTATAGTATTGACGGTGTTGTCTCAGGGCCCCTCGCAAACGCCACAACACGGCGAAACCCATTTTAACCCCCCTCACATAACGAGCTGTCATTTTCTGGTTGGAATGAGCTCAATTGTGTCCGCATACAAAGCGGGCGGATTTAGCTGCAGAGTGATAATAACGACGGCACAATTGGCGATTGGTATAATTCCACAGTGACACACCGCTCATGTCACACAGTGATGATCAGCGCGGGGCATCGAGGCGGCATGCCTCCTTCTAAAAGATGGCGGCGGCGGCGTAGCTACGGGCGCTGTGTGCTGCGTCAGCACGTGTTGCTGCAAGTACTAAAAAAAGTACTGTGAAAAGGTCCATTTCTTCTTCTTAAGAGGAAATGAGTCCCCGCTCTCTGAACACAGAGCAGGCCGAGCTGCTGCATGATAACAGTGATAGCATGATGACGATGATGGCTGGTGTTATACAGGAGGGATTCCACAAAGACTCAATGTTAAGGGTTTGGTGAAATGTTTTGCTGATGGTGAAGGTCTTTGTGGCACTTCGTCATGCCGATGGTGGTGTAAATTTGACTGCACTGCTGCTGCTGACACTTTCTTGTATCGCAAACGAGTTAATCCATCCTTCGTGTTAATTGGATATTTTAGGGGGAAAGAAACTGAGAAAACTCTGTGTTCCCCAAATCCTCCTTGATTTACAGATGAGCTGTGTTGCATTAGTAAAAAGTCTTCTTGATTTTTGTAAGTGCTTGAGCAACGTATTGAGGATTTCCCCCATGTGTTTTTAGAAGAGAATAAAATGCATCCGCAAACATAATTTACAAGAAATACCTGGTTGAAACTAAACACAAGTTGTTGATTCACCATGTGTAGAGTGATGCAATAAAGTTGTGTTGAAAGCAGCACTTTTCAAACAACTGATGTATAAATGTTTTAGGTGTAAAAGGTGTCAAACATCAGAATTTGTCTTTCCAATCTGGTCGATTGTCTGAAAAATGTATCAAATGCACACGTTGAACTTCTTACGAACGTCTTCTCCTCTGAAAGCTGCTGCTGCTCATCTTCAGTTCCTGTTACAAATGGAGGGGAGGTTCGTTATTACCGTCTCGGTGCTCGGAGCTGTGTGATCTCTCGCTGCACATTTGTACAGACGGGGGATAAAGGCCGTTTTTGGCCTTTTGATATTTAGCCATTACGACGTTATAAAATATCTCCCTCACGGGGTTTTTTGTCGCCTCAACTCTTCACACTCACATAATTACAAGATGGAGGGGGACTTTTAGAGAAACCCTGTGATGTTGGACGGCTTTTTTTTTTTTTTTTTTTCACCCTTCGCCCGTTGAATGCTCCTACGAATTACATTTTTTACATTTTGGGTGACGCCCAGCGACGCAGGGGAGCTGCTCTGTACAACCACTCAGCGCCACCACAGGCCCTGAGCCGCTCCACCGGGACGGGCGGGGTTAAGTGGCCCGCTCAAGGGCTTCGCACTGGTAGTTACTGATGGAGCGTGTCCTGTTCATTTCCCTGCCCAGACAACACCTCAGGTGAACTGGGAAACATAAAGGCAGTGGCTCCTTTAAAAAAAACACTGGTGGCCAATCGCACGTGTGTCAATCAGGTTGTCATTGTAGTGGTGAAGCAAACACGATGTAAGAGTAAGCGCTTTAGTTAAAGCTGAGATTCAGCAGGTGGTCTCCGTTGAGCTGACTTCTGCTCACATCTGAACACTGTGTGCCGCGTCAGCAGAAACACGTGAGACGTCCAGATGATATGAACTCTGTGGACGAGGTGAAAGCAAAGAGCGAACGCCACTCTGATTTGTGTCTTGGGGTTTCCTTTCGCTGTGTCCGGCGTTTTAGTTTTTTTGGTAGTTATACAATCACTGGAGGAAAAGAGAAGGTCATCCTCTTCTGAGAGTTTGCCTCCACGTTGAGTGAACCAGTGACATTATTCATACAATACATACAAAAATACTGTCTGTTCATCTCAATAAACGATGGCACGCAATTAAACACTTCTCTGTTTGTAATCATTTATGGCCAATAATGCAGTACTGTTGCTCAAAGGCATAACCCATACTTATTATAGTATTTGTTTTTGTTGATTTAGTTTAATATTGACAGCAATACCTCACGGTAACATTTTATATGCATGCAGTGTGCATCGGATGTGTCAAAACCACCTCGTGTTCTAGACGTAACATTTCCAAAGACAGTCAATCAATGAGATGTGCTGTTGTGATGGGATGGGATGTAAACTGTAATGAATGTGAACAGCAACAGCTGAACTTGTTTTTGGTGCATCGTAACGTTGGTGCCGCAGTCCGTCCGCTCGGTGCTCGTGCATCAGGCTGCGCGGTGAAAGTCTTAAACTAGCTGCGGGCGGCTGTACTGTACATCCAGTACATCTTGGTGAATTCAGAGCAGTCCTGGCTGAGTCAAAACATGAATTATATATATATATATAGTATTTGTATTTTACTCACTCCGGTCATGCTTTACTACAGTGCAGCCATGAGAGAGTGGAACGCAATACATTTTGGAGGGCAACTTGAATACTGTTTGAAAATCCAAAAATCTGTCCAGTATATTTGTGCTGGAGCGCTGTCAGCCTGCTGCCGTCTTTGTTGGGTTTAAAATGTCAAACTTGGAAGTTCTTTGTCGAGAGCTCAAGAAAGGCGGATAAGAAAGAATATCTAATAGCTTCACATGCATTTAGAGGTTAAAAGAGGTTTGTTTCAGTTGCTAATGTTTAAATTAGCATACGATATTTAGTTAAGCTTATTCTACTTCTACAAGCCAAACATTCCACATCGTATTTACTGTTTTCTTTCACTTTCACTGATGTCCTCCTAAAAATACACTGACATATACAAGCCTTGTTGTAGTACTCTTTCCCTTCCAACGACATAATGAGATATACAGTGTATTTAATTAACACGTCTGATTACATCATCATCACAACGTCTTTGAACTCTTTGCTCTTCAATAAATGGTAGTTCTTATGTGTGATTAATCTTAATTCCAGCTCTCTCTCTCTCTCTCAGGCAGATCTGTGTCGCCGTGCAGAGGAGAAAACCTCAACGTAGCCGACACCAGTAATGAGCTAAAGGTGCGTTCTGACATTTCTATTTCCTATGATGTGTGTGTGTGTGTGTGTGTGTGTGTTTTCTCATCTTAAAATTCACACCGATGGCCCAGCCGTCAGGAGCAATTTGAGGTTCGGTGTCTTGCGGACTGGAGGAACCGGGGATCGAACCGCCGATCTTCCGTACGCCCCAGTGTGTGGAATCAAAAGGCCTGTGAATTGGCATTGACACATCAGGCCCCACTTGCCTGTTTAGCATTCAGTTTCAGCGGCTCCTTCTCTTCCAGAGAGCAACTGAGAGTGATGGGTGAAAGCACACTGAGAGCTTTATCTCCAATTCTTTCATTCCTTCTTTCTTTCATTCCATAATTATTTGTGTGGGTGTGTTGTTTATCTGCTCTCTCTCTCTCTCTCTCTCTCTCTCTCTCTCTCTCTCTCTCTCTCGGTAATGATCTCCGTCCTTCATGGTTAATAGGAAATTGTTTAGCTTGTATTTGCCTACAGCAGCGTGTTAAAGAGGACTTGTAAAAATGCATATTTAATATGATCTCGTGCCTGAAAATGCGGCGCACAATGCCTTTGACCTCCGGGCGCGTGTTCCCAAAGTCACCGTATCGCGCACCTCACATCTCCCATCCTAAGCATTTCTTTTTCCTTTCTTTTTTCCCCATTCGCCTGAAAAAGTTGAATAGATTAAGGGCAGATCTAATCGATCCCGAGCGAGTTTATCGGTGGCTGGCAGGCTGACGAGCCGATTTCAGAACAGAATATTCTAACCCTTCAGCGGAGAGCTGGAGACTGGAAAGAGACGAATAGGTAGAGAGACTCAGAGGCAGCAGGTCAGACAGCAACACAGCAACAATGAGTACCTTTGAATAGTTTAGGTCTGTAAGAACTGTCGGGTGTGGAAGACAACAGCAAAGTTAATATTACACGGATATGTTGACGCACCAAAAGGTAAAAATGAATATTATGATGAAGTATATTAATGTTAACAATGTGTGATTATGGGTATGCAAACATACTGTAATGTGACTTGCAATAGCAGCGTATATAAGATAAAACAAGATAATCCTGTGTTGGTCCACAGCGAGGACATATGCAGGATTACAGCTGCAGAGTGGAAAGTACAACAAACAAGATCAAAACATGTATAATAAATAAGTAATCACACAGTAAAGGCATAATAAATAAGTAATCACACAGTAAAGGTATAATAAATAAGTAATATAGCTATACAGTATATTCCACGTCTGTATACTAGATTGATGTGTAGGTTTTCCTTATTATCCCTCTAGTATTAGACATTAGTTATTAATGAGAAAATCAGCCTCACTAAGTGACGATAATGGTCACACTTTAAGATATTAAATAATAATATATTAAGTATTAGAGGCTTAAATGTTGTCCTTTAGAAACTCATATCAGTGGGACATAAACGAAGACTTAGGCTCCCCCTCCATCGGGTTTTTTTGCCAGGATTATTCTGCGGGGCTGCCTATGAAAGCTGTCCTCGTTGACTTATATTGATTCCGCCCTGTGACTTGCTGTGCATCTTGGTTTCAGAAGAGGTTTAGCTACGCTGCGTGCTGATTGGATGTTTAACCTCTTGACATCCAAACCGGGGATCCGAGCACATATCCCATAATGAGAGGCATTCATCCAGATGACCTCTTCTCGGCGGCAGGCAAACTGACATAGTTCCCGTGTGTGTGTGTGTGTGTGTGTGTGTGTGTGTGTGTGTGTGTGTGTG